TTCTTTACCACCCGCCGAGCTCGGGGTTGAGAGCGTAGAGCATGCAAGTTCAGCCCCCACCCGATTCAGGAACCAGCCATAAGCATCTATAAGCTGAGCAGCTCTGCCGCGAAACCAGCTGGCAAAGGCGCAGCTTGAGGAGATTCTGTCTCACCGCCTGTGCAATTGAATTGGGACAGGGATGATGGCCATCCCAGAGCTGCAAAAGAAATTGCATCACCCAAACATGCTTCCAGGTCCTAGCAACGCTTTGTGCCTGCACATTCGCGCTTTCACTCTCCCTGCCACATTTTCTACCCAGCATGCTAAGAACTAATACACACGAATTCGCCTGAACAAGCAGACACGGATCCGGTCTCCTTCACCCTAATTCAACCCTCTTCCTCATGCCAATGCACCCCTGTGGGAACCCCCCCCCATCGCTTGGAGGAGCTGCAAACCGATGCCTGCCATGGGGGGTCCGGCCAGAGGGGGCGCTCCAAAATGTACGGACTTGGCTCTTTTGGGACGTGTCTGGGACCGACCCGCCTGGGATCGCGTTGGGCCCCCCCCCCCCTCCCCTTCCTTTCCTGCGGCGCGCGCAAGCGCTTACAATTACTTCTTTACCGTAGTTTTTCTCCAGCCCAAAATGCCAGCGTAACTCGATCTTAGCTTCGCACCCTCAGACATGCCGTGAATATTTGCCACGCCTTGGGAGGAAGGCTTGCATGAGCTCGCCATCTGGAAACCTTGTCTCCAGCACAAAAGAAAGGCTTTGTGGGATGCATCGTCGAACGGCTCGGACGAGTCGCTGTTTATCCCAAGTCTACAGTCGCTGTTCCACTTTTTGGAATAAACGCCACAATCCCCACCTGGCCGACCTCCTCTGCGCCCAGCCGGGCGGAAGAATGCCGTGTCAGCCAGGCCTGCATGCCCAGATGGCATGGAGTCTTAGTGAGTAGCTTTGGGATGTTCTGGCAGCTACTGTTCTTTTGGAGGTTGGGATGTTCGCCACAGGACTCCCGCATGGTAACGCAGACTTTGGGCATAGGGAGGTGTACAGGATGTTTCTAGACTCTGATTCTAGACTGTAGCTTGATGATGTGTTGGAACAGGGTGGTCAGGGATAAATCAAACGAGCGCACCTAATCATATTACGACAGTCTGCTTTCAATGCAGGCCAGGCTCCACCAGTCATGGGTACTTTTGAGCCATGATCCGGTCCTCGCACGATGCCCCGGCTTAGACTACAGGCTCGTGTCATGTGTACAATTCAACTGCAATGTTCCCAAATATTGAAGCTGGCACGCAGGCCGAAGCCAACAAAAACATAGGCTCGTCCACACGGGATCCTTACAACATCCATAGCTCTCCGCAGGTCCCCCACCAATTCCACAGCCAACGACTGACGAAGCGAATAAATGTGAGAGAAGAGCACTGTGAGACTGTGAGGCATCTGGTCCCGTCGGCCCACGAGACAGGTGGCCTGCCGAAGGTGCAAGGCAGGTGCATCAGCTTGAATCTAGTTGGTTGTCAGTGCAATCCTCCGGGCTCACGGTTGAAATTCAATCAGTATGCTACGTCACACTACTAAGGCATTGCTGAGGGGAGTATTCGTGAGACACAACAGACAGCACCAGTCCTGAAGCATTCATGGACGGAGCACTCGGCTCCATCACGGGATCTGCAGCCACATCTTCCTGGAGAGTTGGGGGGTTGGCAGCTGCAAAAATGCCCACGGTGTCGGAATCTAAACACGTCGACATACGTCGACGGTCCCCTCGCAGTCCTCAGCCACCGCTGGCATGGATCTCAAACCCTGGCCGAAAGCCTGCGAGGCATGTCACTTCTCAACTTCCGACAGCCCAGCTCGGAGCTCGAGCGGGTGCAAGAGACCACCACCACCACCACCAGCTCGACCACATCCACAACCACAACTACCACACAAACTTTCAAAACACAACCAGCACAGCAACCGCAACAACAACTTCAGAGTTGCCACGACAACCGCAAATGCCGTAAACGAGGACCTGCAATGCGTGAAGCAAGTCACGACGGCTTTATGTGGGGACGACCACGATCATCGACTGTCATTACTTAGCATTGCTGTCTCAGCAGTCCGGAATGCCTAACCCCCTTGCCCTCTCACATGTTCATAGTTCCATGCTAGGCATAGCTCGCTTGTCAATGGAATCGAGCCTCGTGGCCGGGCTGCACGCCATGCTCCTTACCGCTGAGTAAGGCTCTCACCGCAATCATGCTACAACGGGAGGGGTCGCGAGGTGCCCTCGTACATGGCTGACGGCTACTGATTCAGCCAGTTCGAGAAAAGAGGCGCGCAAAAGACCATGATCAGGTGGAAAGAACCCCCACGAAGCAGCCTGGTGCATTGCGGATATTGCATCTGCTTTGCCTGCGGCATGGTGGTATGTGTCGCATGGTGCGAGTTGCTTTCGCCGAGTGGCATAAGCTTCTGGGACTTTGGCCAGTGGCGAAGATGTCGGTGATGCGGCTGGCGTCACTGACTTCCCTGGTGAAGGGCACTGCTGCTTCATTTTGACCTTGGGGCCACGTGAATCCACCAAGAATGAAATCCACACCGTGAAAAACAGAAGAAATATATATTCGCACGCCGGCACTCTTAAGCTCGTCTGCCCTCCTCCCCCGTGCGTTGTGATTTTGGAGCTGTTGAATCAATTTTTGAACGGAGATATCAGAAAAACATCACAAAACCGTTCCTCTTTGGCCTGAGCACGAAAGTCCTGTTTTTCGGGCTGCCGACCCCCCAGACCCCCTCAGCAGGCATGCTTCTGGGGGGAATGCTTTTTACACTGCAACCCTTGAGTGATCCAAGTGGACCCTTAGCAACCCCCCCTCGGAGCCTGGGACCGCCAAACTAAGTACCAACCAACCAAGCCCCCGCAAAAAAACAAGGACCCCCTAGGGTCCACCTTCTTTACGAAACAACTTACGAGCGCGAAGGCCCGCTTTTTTGCGCCGGTTGGGGGACCCTTTTCCAGAAAGCCTCAACGGGCTTTGTAGATTTCGGGACGCGCAGTGCTTCCAACCACAACAGCACGCTACCCTGCAAAAGCAACAGCATCGTGACTCGCAGCAGCCAAGGCGCAGCCGTAGTTGGGGAGGCAGCCAGTCGGCCCGTGACGAAGTACAGCTTGATGGACCTTGTGCAAACGGCGCATTACTTCGCCTTTCAAAGCATGACAGTGCTATGTGAAGGGCTCCACGTTAGAAGTAATGCCACATAGTGGCAACAGCGCAATTGCCACCAGAACCATGTGTCCTTGCAGGGTGATCTGAGGAGAAAGATCAAGCAATCAAGAATACCAAAGCATACTACGAGCTTATTCTTTCAACACAGTATCGCCTGCTTGCGCAGGAAAGACCTAGAGAATCCATATAAGCTTGAACAATCCGCCAGTCCATTCAACACTCATCCTGCGAGCACAAGCAGAAGCCCTGCGACTAGGTGGGCCCCGAGGGAGACGAGCAATGCTCGGCGCAGCCTGCCAGACATCCTACTTGGAAATCAACTCACTGCACCTCTTCTTGCTCTTCCAATCAGCGGCACGGAGACTGCATTGCTGACACCAAGCAAAAGCAGCAACCCGCCGAAGCCCGACGTCTCTGCCGAGAGGCTCAGGAAGACCAATGCTCCTCACACCTGCCAAGGCAAAGGGCCGCTTCGACAGTTTCAGAATGAGCTCAATATAGCCCAATTCTATGCCACTCAAGATGGCTTCCTTCTGCTGATCCACGCTTCTGTGGCACTCTAAGACGATGGCCTGCAGCTTGCAGGCATTCCAACGCTTTGCCCCTCAGCGTTGTCAGTGGCACCGGCCTCAACCATGCATGACACAATGCATTTGCGATGCCGCTGGCTGCAGTCCAGAACAGCTAGGCACTAGCAGAACACAGAGGAACCAGCTTCTGAAGTCCTGGAGATTCCGTTCGGCCGGAAGGGTGGTCCTGCAACTTTGAGATGTGCAACGTGTACGTCTGGCCGGCTTTGCGCTCTGGTTTGAACAGAAGGCACACCATGGTACACCCTCGAGCGAGCGAGCGAGCGAGAGAGAGCGAGAGAGAGAGAGCGGGAGAGAGAGCCGGCTAAGGAGAGAGACTTGGCATCTGGGCTGAGTGACTGCCATTGCTTTTCCTTTGCAGCACTGGTAAAGCTGCTGATTGAATATTAGCACTGCTTCCCTGATGGGCCTCCGGCTGCTCCTCAGGAGAGCTTCAGCCCAATACGCGAACGAATGGAACCAGACATCCCTTCGAGCGCCTGGCCTTCTACGTGGAGAACACCTGCCTCACCTCATCCTCGTTCACCAGCTGGCCGCGGGCTCTCCTTTGAACTGCGCTGCTCCCGCCACTCGGCAAGGATTTTAGACCTCAGCCTGCGAAAAGCGGCACTGCCGACTTCGCCTGGAACCCACTCGCGCTCGACTAACTCCTGGAGCCACTCCGATCCAAGATGTGGCTGCGCTTGCTGCCCGGCCGGGACTGATTCCGGAAGCATCTGATTCGACGCCCAATTGCGGCAAGCATGCAGCGCTGCGTCTTTCCTGTCGACCACCAATTCCAGATTGTCACGCTTGCCCATGCAAGCTTGTTCAAGGTCTCGGAGCAACTCCTGCAAGCCATGGCTCCGGTCAAGGGTTTGACCATTGGAGTGACCTTCCTCTGGCAGGAGCTGCGAGAACCCAATCTCACCAGAGGAAGGTCCTACCTTGGCGGCTTCTTTTCTCATGTGCCTCCGGAAACAACCACAGCATAGACAGCAAAAAAGTGCCGCACCGGCTACCCATGCAAACGGGGCATAATCTACGACTCCAGATCTATCCACCACAGCAGGCAATACTTCCTCTCTGCCCTTTGAGGTTGAAGTGATGGTGGAGCTGGTCGTCGTGTGATGTGTGCTCGACAGAGTTGAAGATTTGGAGGACGTGGTGTATGTAGGCGTGGCAGTGGCTGAACTTGTCGTCAGTGTAATTGTTACTGTGATGGTCTCTGAGGAGCTGCTGGTCGACGAGCTTGATGAAGTAGCAGATGTCGAAAGGCTAGTGCATGTGGTTGAGGTCGAGTGGGTTGTCGTGGCATGGGTCAAGGTCTGTGATGTGCTACTCGCGCTTGAAGTTACAGTGCTTGTTGTGCGAGTTTGCGTGGTAGTCGATGACCGAGTCGATGATGCCGACGACGACGACGACGACGACGACGACGACGACGACGACGACGACGACGACGACGACGACGACGACGACGTGGACGTGGACGTGGACGTGTCACTGGTGGTTGAGCTTGCTGTGCGTGTTGAAGATGTCAGTGTAGATGTAGATGAGGTAGTGGCAGTGCCTGTCGTAGATGATGTGGACGTCGAGACACGGACGCAGTACCCGTATGTGTCGCCCTGGCACGTTTGATTTTCCACGAAGCACCAATCCCCCGAAGGGTCATCGTCGGGGTTGCAGCAGTAGCTGGCGCAGGTCTTGCCGGAGAAGGTCCACACATCTTTGCATAGACAGCCCAGCGTTGTGTAATTGGTGAAGCTGACGTCGCTAGACGCTGACATAAAGAAGATGTTGAACAGCAGGTTCTGCCACCACGGTAGCATGCGCAAGTTTTCCACATCATGGGGCTCCAGGCCACATCATGTCATGTCAGATTGCGTCACATCGTACCTATATACGGTTGCTTTCGATGCTACTGGGGGCTATATCCTGGAGAGCTTGTCTTCGCAATGAACCCGCCAATAGGCAATGTGACAAGAACCTATGTCGTGCGTAAACCTTCATGCTGCAGACTCCAGACACTCATACACCAGGCACAAGACACATCATGCACATGCACCACGTAGCTTGCAAGGAGCACATTAGGTTTTGGAAGATGGCGTCCGAACCTAGACTCGAATTGTATATGATGTTTTTCAAAGCATTCTGCATGAGACCAACCGCTTGCCACATCAAAGGTCTTTGGGCCATGGCCTCATGGGCTGAAAGAAGCTGCCCTTCGCAGCAAGTCTGTGCCTCAGCCGGGTGAGTAGGGAACTTCATCTTGGGACTTCGTGCAGATCCCATGACACGCACCAGTACACAGGAAAAGTTGAACACATTAGATTGACGACTTGTCGCCACCACAGTAGTTGCATGACTGACTCGGTGTGCTGGGTACCACACCACATCTACAGGCACTGCCTCCTCCCGCGTGCACTCAGGCTGCCGTGGGTCATCTGCCTTCAGTCTGCAAGATGCGCGCCGAATGCTACAAAAACCTAATATGTACGAGTAACCTGCACTGCACCCTGCAACAAAATCCCGAACTGCCATCCCAGATTCCGTAGCTGCCGCCATCATCAGCTGCATGGTCCGATTCTGCTCGCCTTTGCTGACCACTTGTACTTCGTTCTGGCCCTGTCCTGCTCGACTCAGCTACACACAGACACAAGGCAGATTGTCCACATGAACCCCCCCACAACTCCAAACAAGGTATGGTGGCATGGACTTGTGTGAACCATCAGACGCACGGGTCCTTCTACTTCCAGGATTTGCTCTTCCTCGATCTGTTCCTCTTCCTCATCCGTACCCTCTTCATCAACTTCGAGCACGGCAGTAAGGTTTCGAGCCTGCAGGTCGCGATCTCAGAGCTTACTATGCCGCGCTGTGAGCAACTTGGTGGTCAGGCTTTTTTGCCGAAGGTTTACGGTTCGTGTTTTTTGAAGCTGTAACCAGAAAAACACAGGCCCGCATTCTCACGTATTTGATGTCTTCCAGAAGAGGCTGGTTTTTTGAACTGTTATCTCCATTTTTTCTGAAAGGTTCTGAGGTTCCCAAGTCGTCAGCCCTCATTCAGGTACATGTGAGACTCTTGTAAACCAGATCAACTCAATCGCATATTCCGAAACTAGTCAAGTCTCCTATCTTTGAATGGACACTTCCCGCACAAACGATCCGGAAGCCATTCAAGACTTATGGGAAGGCATCAGCTGCTCCATCACTGGCATGTCATGAGGTGTCCTCCATGCATTTGTCGAACTTCATGGAGACAGCCGCCCCACAATTCCCATGTGGAGAGGCTTGTCACAAATCTATTCTTTTGGGTTATCCTTCATTTATTCTTGTGAGTGGGCGGTGGGGTGGTGGGTGGGTTGTGGGTTGGGGGGGGGGGGGGGGGGGGGGCCTGTTCCTCACACTGGTATTTGCAGGTTTTGTGCCTCTTTTTATCAGATGCCGCAAAAGAATGTTTGAAACAAGGCGCGCTGTCACGAGCCTCGTGCGAACATGGACGGGAATGTTCAGAGATTTTGCCCTTACGAAGAACCTACTGCAGAAGCATCTTAGATGCTTCTGCAACCAGATGCCTGTCACAAGTGTTCATGCCTTTCTGCGAAGATGCCCAAAACGTTCCAAAACTCTGCTATTTGCAGCATTGTTCCTCTTTCTACAGCATACTAAGCCTTCAGCAACGACCATGTTCATCTGTTCATCTCCCGGAAAGGGTTTCGGCTTTGTGCCATGAACCCGAAACCCTGGCCATGCACAACAAGCGCTTCCAAAACTCGAGATTCCAAGCCCAAGCAGCATTTTGCAAACAACTGGGGGGTCCAAACTTGCGAAGCAAACCTCGTTTCACGTGGCAGGCGTGGTACTTTCGCCATGCGTGGATGCCTATGCCTCTGGAATGGGTGCCCCCTACGACCGAAAGCCCCAAAAGAGACTGATTGCACGAAGCCCTCTCCACAGGCCCCGGGCAAGGCGGATCGAGGTAGCGTTAACATTAGGATCCCACCTCCCCCCCCCCCACCACAACCGCGACTACGGAGAGAATCTGGACTACAAACAGAGACCTTGAATCTCAAATCTTGTGTCTGCTTTAACCTAAGAACCGAGGCCGGGACGAAAAAGTATGCTGCCACTAGCAGTGGAAATCCTACGGCTCAATTTCCAGAACTTTGTCTCCCGAGCCTTGGCTTTCTGCTTTGGTGCCTGCTCGGGTGAAGTCCAAGCCTCGCCACAGCGGCGACGTGGCCTCCGTCATGCCATGCCGTCAGTGGCACTTCAAGTCCCGAAATATTGGCCTAGGGCACCCCTAGCACAATCGATTTCGGTTCTTACAGAGTGGCCGTGGTTGTTCAAAGCTCGGTTGGCCTATCTCCGCTCCAGTATGATAAGGGGGAGCGCGCAGAAGCAAAAAGGCAATGAACGCGGCGAGTCGGACGAAAAGCCACGCGTACTTCGATCACTCAAGGTAGCTTGCATTGGACAGCGCTTCCGTCCAGGCATCAGCTACGGTGTTTTTGCTTGCCAATGGCCACAAGTGCCACAAGAAGAATGGGTGCGCACGTAGAATGCCGGATCGGCCAACACCCGAGGTCGAACTCGTAACGTCGTAGGGCATTCTTCCAATTCTTCCAAGCAGCCCTGCGGAGGTGAACGTTAGCATGGCATATTGATTTGCTGAAAAAGCAAGCTCCGAATAGTTTTCCACAAGCCACTTAAGCCGGTCGGCACTGGTGTCTCGGGGCCGAAAGTGCAGTTTGAACCCGACGAGGCCGGTTTGGGCAGCAGCTGTGTCGGACCGAGCAACCCAAGGCCCTCTACGTCCGAAAATGCAAGACAAGAACAGAGCAGGAGACAGAAGGGAATCAAGAACAGTGAAAGGCGAGGTAACAAGGTAACTCCCAACCACCTAGACCCTTTTCCTAGTTAGCCACCAGCGAAAAAAGAACAGTACATCACCAGACATTGGAAAAAGGCATCCCGGCAAGTGATCCCATAGTACAAGGGGATACCCGGACAGCAAGCCCTACAGTAGGCCCTGGGCTTCTTCACATTTCCTCACTGTTCACAACCTTCACAACCACAAAAGATGTGCTACCCTTGACTCCTTGATGGGCCGCGCGGAAAGGGAAACGCCCCGCCAGCCGCCCCCGCACCTTTCAGGACTCCAGATTGTCTTGGGCTCAAGGCTCTAGAATCTCTGGACCCACAATGTTAAGCAAGCCGATGAATCAGTGCCTCTGTGGCAGGTGCACGTGGACACAGTATCAAGCTAAGGCCTTTGGTGGACGTGGCCGGTGGGACAACCTCTTCCTGCAGCGATTGAACCTCCTGCAGGGAACGAACTGTTGCTCTTAGGCATATGCCAGTTGAGGACCTGCCTGGCAACACCATACTTGTTCACATCACTCTTACGATGGACCTCGTTGAGACAACATAAATGCGACGGCGTGTAGAAAGCACCATCGGAGCGGCCTCCACAGCATCTGCACTTCCGCATTCGGCTTCACTCGCTTCAACTCCAGGTCCAGGTTCATTGCGCTCACTCGGTTCGCAGGGTTCTTCCACCTCAGCACGTGATTTCATCCATACTGGGCTCAATGCTCGAACGAAAAACCTGGCCTTGAGCCAAACGTATGAACGCGTCCAGGGCGCGGGTGCCGACTCTGCCTCAACTTGCGCTTCGTCTTTCTGGGCCACAGAAGGCAATGTGTCCATTGTCTCTCCCAAACCACCATCGGCCTGCCACATCATCAAGGTCCAAACAAGGCGCAGGCGACACACTCGTGGCGTGGCCCGGCTCAAAAAAAAGAAAAACTGCGGGGCCATTGGGCGAGTCATGTTCAGAGACTAGATGCAAGCCAAGCGGTTGATTTCTTCGAGGTTGGGGTGGACACCGGGTTGAGCAGATGTTAATTGCCAGACTGTAATAACTAGATATAACTAGTCATGGTCTTTCCCCGCAGAGATTGCCTTGGAATGGCACCGGCTAACCACCAAAACGTTCTCCGGCTTGACTTGCTCGCTGCCTGAGGGAGGCACAGGGCCAGAGATGCTGAGTAAGGCTTCCTTTTGGCGGAGAAACTTTCTGTCAGCATATGGCCATTCAGGGTGCCTATCTCCCCCCCCCATATTGTCTCTGTCAGCAACCCACCTCCCAGCAAGCGGCGCCCACCAGGTAGGAGCAGCAGCAGAAAGCCAATGAAAGTGCTGATGAAAAAACCTCCAAAGCCTCCACAGCAGCCACACGTGCACAAGTCGTCACATGAGCGCTCACATGATCTTGGTAAATCTATGTGCTTGCCATTCCTTGCCCAGACACTGAACAGAACCAAGTGCTCCTCGCGACTCAGCCGCGCAGATAAGCCAGCGAAGTGGCCATCAACGTCATGGTGCAGGAGCAAGACGGCATATGCCTAGAACGCCATGGTGGGCTTGTTTATGAGCCGTGCTAGAGCGCAAGGGAAGTGAGTAAGTGCCAGGGTGCCAGCAAGAGGTTGGCGATGCTCGCGAAATAAGCCAGGGCCACCTTTCTGAGGGAAAGTCCACACCAACACGCCGTTTGTGTCCATTCCTTAGCAAAATGGCCGTTGCGGGATGGCGATTTCCACCGATTGACAAGTTACCAACATTTCAACATTTGCCAACCATTGAAGGCGGGTTGAAAGATTGAAAAAAACTGAGGCTTCGGCCCCATGCGTCGTCCACACCAGCAAGGCACAAGTGGAACACGAAAATGCCAATGCTGCAAATGTCGTTAAAGCTTGGACAAGAAATACTGGGGAGAAACTCGTGAAGCCGAAGTACCTGAGCAGTTTCTGCCGAAAGCAACCTCAAAGGCTACCGAGCACTGCAGAGCTGAAGAGCTCCACTGTCAACATGAAACATGCCGACGAGCAGCAGGAAGGCGAGGCTGATTGCCAAGAGGGCTCGAAATAGACTCTGCAGGAAAAAGCCTTCACTGTGTCGTGTATCACACATGGGCTCAGCATACGGCACAAAGGACACCTGAGGCATGTGGAGCATGCTCAATGATTCTATTACCGCTTGTTGCGCCAGCGAAACTGCAATCAGGCCACGCTTTTTCAACAGGCTTGGAGCGATAGACACGAAAAGGGACGCCCTAAACCTTTGACATTTCGTGCATCTGGGCCATCTGGGGTGAACTTCACTTAAACATTCTTACACCACCACGGAACCCCTTTTCCATTGTCGAGGCTGCGCAATGACCACGGAGATGGCAACAAGCGCCACGCCAGCACCTTGGAAAGTCATTGAGGGAACTGGCCCCAATTGACCACCATCGACCTCAAGAAGGCTTTCAATGAATTCAAAACCCCAACACGAACTCCAACACACCAACAACCCCGAAGAAGCACTCGCCTGCGCAGAGGCCCGCGGCATCGCATCTTAGCACTGTCGCCTGACAGCTGGCAAGAACACGGAGCCGTCTGGACTTTGCAAGCAGGCAAGTGTTGCCGCGTGGCGAACCTGTTGGCAAAAAATGTGCAGAAACGAAAACACGGCAACGGTACCAATTGTTTTCACCATGCATGTGTGATGCTAGGGCATGTTACTGAAAGTCTAACTGCGTTGTTGTGCACTACTGTTGCAGTGACACTGTCTAAACTTGGAAGGATGCAACTGCAAGAAATTCTCGTAGCCGTGATGGTGGGCAGCATGCCCGACTGCATCTGTTTTATCTGTTTTTGGGGAGACTGTCGCCTTCCTGTTTCATCCTGGCTCCAAAAGTGTGATGTGCATCTGCCTCGTTGTGGCCGGCCAGCAGCAAAAAAAACAGCGCCAGCAGGGCAACCAATGCTGCTAGCACCACTGGCCTGAGTTCATTGAACTGGTGCAGGACTGGGAACGAACTTTTTTCAGTCAATTGGCCGCCAGCACCAAAAAACGTGGATGTAAACTGGATGTAAATCAAAACCACATGCCGTCAGCACCCTTCAAAAGAACCGGGATCGGCTGAGATCGCCACCAACTGGTTGTGCAGCACCGATGCCATGAGTTTGCCCGCTCCTGCAGTTCACATCCGCAAAGGCACCAGGGTGCGCAACCCTGACCGTTTCGCGGCTGAGCCTGAGTATCCCCCATGGCTGTGCCATGGCGACGCAGCAGTACAACAATATTATGATATATTGGAACCCTATTCAGCAAGCAGTTCGGAATAGGCTGTCATGGTAGCTTGGTCGGAGCTGCGCATCTTGAATTGAACTTGGCACATATATATGTATATATATTCAACATAATGACTTTGCTTACTATCCAAAACAAATCAATCCAAACAGCCACCTTGATCCGCACAAGTGTCCAACGACAGCCACAAGAGTAGTGAAGTAGTGAAGCAGTGAAGCATAGTGAAACCATAAAGCCCCTTTTCTTGTACAAAGCTTGCCAGCAGAGAATGGTATGCGAATAGCGTGTAACGGCCAAACTCGACAGTGCGAACTGCTCAAGGGTCTCGTGAACATTCCAGCCAACCCCACATGAGTGGTGTTTTTCTCAAGCATGAATCGATGGACATTATAACCCTTCCGCGGACCCTTCCGCAGCCTTCCGCGGCGTATTCCGCAATCCTTCCGCCATCCTTCCGCGAAAATACGCAATTCCACCTTCTCACCCGAAACAGACATCAGCAACCTGAGTATATATGATGTCCAGGTATACCCCTTAAGTTTTAGGTTGGGGATCAGTTGCCTTGGGGGTAAGGGTCGACGGTTAGGGGGTAAGGGTTTAATGGTCGCAAATAAATTCGTTTACAAGATTTCGCAAAGCATCATTAAAAGCTGAATAGAATGTTAAGGAAATCATGAACGAAGACGACGCATATCATTCGTAGGAATTGGAATTTGGGTGCAATAAGGGAGTCGTTTGATGATTAGTTTTGAGTGAGTGAAGGGCGGGAGTGGAGACAAAGGGGGTCCGGGTGATGCACGTCAGTCAAAAAAAACGGGCAGGTGAGTGGAAAAAACGGGTTCGGGGACGGGGCGGGGGCTTTGGACGCTTCACGTCTAATCTGCGCGTGCTCGTTGTTTTCTTGGATTGTTCCCAAGAACTTAAAACCTTTCTGGGGTTGGGATCTCGTTTAGCGCTTCAACACGGAGGGTGGGCTATCGGATCGCGTCCGTGTGCCTGAACCGTCCTTCCTGGTCCAGGAAGCCATCAACTCTCGCGCTGCCCTGACAGAACAGGACAAAGGGGATAACCTGCTGCGCAGGCTCCTGCATACGGGGCGCCTTCTGCTGATGAAGTTTGAGGAAGTTCATTTTCAATGCCTCGTTCGTCCAGAAGGGAGTGAGGTAGAGAGCGAGCTCCTTGTCCTTTGTGCTCGCCCTAGCGTGATGCGGGAGAGCCTCATGGACCTCTACTGGACTCATCCGGACGGTACGCAAGAGCTGGGGGCACTGCTGCCAGCTGGGACAGGCGTGACCGGACCACTCTACAGCTTCTATGTCGTCGAGCAGGAGAAGGGGGGCGAAAGGGGTCGGCGACTGAGGAAAAGGCACCTACTGCAGTTCTTTTCCAACCACAACGTGCACTGGATCGGGCCCCACAATGCCCCTGAGCGCTTCTCCGTCCAGCGGCCACCCTGACTGTAACACCTAATGAGACTGTAGTCCGAGTGCTTCTATGTCTGCCAGGTTACTCTGACCTGCGTCACCTGGTGAGCCCCCGCGTACATCGCTGTGCAGAAACAGTACGAAAGGTTCATTGCACATGAATGCACGCAGCGATGACAAAAAAGGGAAGCGAAAGATCTGCATATATTTTAGTCCATGCTGTGAATGGTGCAATGTGAGCGAGACATGCGACGCTTTCCGTCAGCCATTGGATCCAGACTCGTCTCGGGCCCCCCGAGACCTACCACTTCAGGGCCCCCCAAGACTCCAACCACTTTAGGGTTCCCCCTGAAACCTCCAGGTTCCAACCATTTTCGGGCCCCCCCCTGAGACCACCAGGTTCCAACCACTTTGGGGGCCCCCCCTTCAAGACCTCCAAAGACGTTCCAACCATTTTAGGCACTCCAACCACTAGGGTTCCAACCACTTTAGGGCCTCCCCCCTCGCGAGACCTCCAGTTTAGGGCCCCGACATCTCCAATCAACCACTTTAACCCCCCCCCAAAAAAAAAAATCCAGGTTCCAACCCCCCCCCCCTCCCCCACTCCCCCCCCCCCCCCTCTCCCCCACTCCCCCACTCACTCCCACACTCCTCCCCCACCCCCCCACCCCCCCACTCCCCCACTCTCCCCCGCTCCGCCCCCACTCCCACTCCCGCATCGGAGCCCGCAGGGTTTCCCCAAACCCTTCGGAGCCTGCAGGGTTTCCCCAAACCCTTCGGAGCCTGCAGGGTTTCCCCAAATGCTTCGGAGCCTGAAGGGTTTCCCCAAACCCTTCAAACCCTTCAGAGCCTAAAGGGTTTCCCCAAACCCTTCCAACCCTGAAGGGTTTCCCCAAAATCTTCGGAGCCTGAAGAGTTTCCCCAAACCCTTCGGAGCCTGAAGGGTTTTCCCAAACCCTTCGGAGCCTGCAGGGTTTCCCCAAACCCTTCGGAGCCTGAAGGGTTTCCGGAGCCTGAAGGGTTTCCCCAAACCCTTCGAAGCCTGAACCCCCCACTCCCCCCACTCCCCCCCCACTGCCCACTCCCCACTCCCCCCCCCCCCCCCCTCTCCCCCACTCCCCCACTCCCCCATCCCCCACCCCCCACCCCCCACCCACACTCCCCCCCCCTTCCTCCTCCCCCACTCACCCCCCCCTCCCCACTCTCCCCCCGCTCCCTTCTCCCCGCTCTCCCTTCTCCCCCTTCCCCCCCCCCACTCCCCCCCCCCCCCCCCCTTCCCCACACTTCCCACACTTCCCCCCACCTCCCCCCTTCCCCCCCACCCAGTTTCCCCCCCACCCCACCCACTTCCCCCACTCTGCCACCCACTCCCCCACCCCACCCACCTCCAACTAGAGACCAGCATAGCCTCCAAGACCCTCCAGCTAGACCCCAACCCAACCCCCAACACTCTCTAAGAAGAGCACCTACAAAGCCTCCAAATAGCCTCCAAGACCCTTTAACAAAGACCAACATAGCCTCCAAGACCCTCTAAACGGGGTCTAAGAGGGGCCAACATAGCCTCCAAGACCCTTCAAAAGGGACCAAGACCCCCCAAGATGGGCCAACGTAGCCGTCAAGACCCTCTAACTAGAGACCAGCATAGCCTCCAAGACCCTCCAGCTAGAGGCCAACATAGCCCCCAAGACTTTCTAATAAGGGCACCAACCAAGGTGGGCCAACGTCGCCGTCAAGACCCTCTAACTAGAGACCAGCATAGCCTCCAAGACCCTCCAGCTCCAACGTAGCCCCCTAGACTCTCTAATAATAAGGCACCAACAAAGCCTCCAAATAGCTTCCAAGACCCTTTAAGAGAGACCAAGACCCTCTAAACGGGGTCAACATAGCCTCCAAGACACTCTCAGAAGAGCAAATGCAAAAACCCTCTAAGAGGGACCAACATAGCCTCAAGGGCCCTCTTAAGAGGGGCAAACATTGCCTCTAACCTAGCCTCCAAAACC